CGAGTGTCGGTCGTCGTCGTATTTGGAAATATTATTCATCGGGCGCGAGCAAATACACCACGCACACACAAACACACACACAGACTCGTTCTGCGTGGACACATTTTTTACATCGACACTTTGATAATGAGAATCGCTTCGTGCGCTGCGTGTTCTTTTGCAATTTAACGATCGATGCCTTCAATTGGGACTCTCCGCGAGCGTGTGTGGGTTGTCTCCTTTCTTTTCTCCTTCTTACTGTTTTTTTTAATTGCATTATATTCAGCGCGTTAAGACTTTGTCGTTTCTTTCTTTTTTTTTTGCATTCGACGATGGAATATTTTTCTTACAAAATATCGCGAATGCGACACAATGTTTATTGAAACAAAAAACAGGCCGAGAAATTCCATCACGCATCCATTGTGTATAGGTATATATCAATGCGTCGATATCTAAATATGTCGGTCGCCGCCGCCGCCGCAGCTACCGCAACGAATCGCAAATTCCACCTTTGGAGCTTTGCATCTTACCGCGCGGACGTATTTATTTATTTATAAATACACACGGTATATAGTAGCTCGAGCCATGTGAACGGCTATTTACGTACATAGGTAGTTCGAAGGACGAATTTTCCACGGTGTCGATCATCGGTTGCGTCAGAATGTAGTATATGTGTCTCGAACTCGAGCTGCTATTATAATAGTTACAGCGTTGACTGACATCTTATTATACATAGTTATAATAATGTAATACAAGATTTCGCTCAAAGGACCCACTACGAATGTTATTTCAAAAAACGTATACGCGCTCGAACGTCGAGAGACACTCGACGATGATTTATTTTTGTGCTCTTTTTAATTACGATGAAAAAATAATCAATTGCGCGCTCGCAGGTTCGCACGAGTAGCAGCGACACGTTTTGCATTTATATAAAAAAAAAAAAAAAAACAGCGAGGCAGGTGTGTTTCGTTGCCAATACTTATCCCACGCGTGCGAAAAAAGAGTCAATTGCGCGAATAAACCGCACAGTATATCGACATATTCCAAGAACGAGCGCGGATAATTTCATTCGACGTCTCTCGAACTCGAGCTTTAAACTCTCGCTTAACGACGTGAAAATGAGAGAAAAGAGAGCGAGATAGAGACGCGCGTATAAAAAAAAAATACATAAGTCGATCGGCTTGGTGCAACCGTGTTTTCCATTTTAGTTTCCAGCTCCGCGTGTGTGTATGTGTGCGCATAATATGATTCAATCTCACTCGCACTCAGGCTGTGCGATCGCCTTTATAATAGAGAAGAAAAAAAAGAAGCCGCAGCTAACCGGCCGCGAGAGATCTGACTCATGAGATCTACGCAGCTTTATAATGATAAACACTCGCACACGAGTTGCAGATATATTGGTAATTTACCGCGTGTTACGATTATTATTATCATTATTTCTTCGGTTTTTTTTTTGCTTCTTCCTCCAACCGGTCTGACCTGAACGCAAATTTTTCATAGCGTAGGTGTGTAAAGTACATGTAAGTGTGTGTTGTATACTACTCGCGTTAAAAAGAAAAAAGGTCGAATAACAGTCTCGGCGAAGAGAGGAATTCATTAAGATTTTGGGATACCCGCTCGCGGGGGCATTTAAATGCGCGGAGTACACGTCGATATATATAACGAAAGGCGACCGGAAACGAGAGAGAGATGAGGAAATAAAATTTGCAAAAATACGAGAATTCGCCATTACTCTGTATATATTGTATTACACGACGATCGCGATTAAAAATCTTTATGGTACAGGTCGAATTAAAAATCTCGCGTCCGAAGGAGAAGAAAGTCGATCTCGGCAGGAGCAATAAGTGTACGATAATCGAATGCGAGTGCGTATACGCACGCATTCATACGCTTTGCACGTGTATGTACGGATATATTATTTGTAACCGAAATAAAGAACGACAGCGACAGTATGCGTATAATTTAACGCGAGACACTTGTCGATATCCACGCGCGTGTACTCGTTTAAATGCCAAATTGTCGTCGTCGTCAGCTCTCGGAGTGAAATTTACTGCCGCGAACTTTTTCTGCCGCGCAGCTCGTGCGTCAGGACGACGCTGAAGTTCTCAGGGAGTTTTTTTTTGCCCGTGCACTTTGTATCTTGGAAAGTTTGTATAATACTCGTCGTACGAATCGCGAGCAGCAGGATCGCGAGCTGCAAAAAAGCTCGGGTGTGCGATGAAGAAAGGAAAAATAAATCGTCCTCGACGCGCTTCGGGTAGAAGCTTCGTGTATACATTATTACGTGCTTCAAAGCTGCTGCTGCGCACGGCGAGAATATAATAAGGCGCATAACGTAATCCGCGCGCCGGTATGAATCACGCTCGCAAGAATCTTTGAAATTATACGCTTATAGCTTATAAGCACGTGTGTTCCGTCTGTCTCTGTATCATACAAAACCCTGTATATATGCGCGGCACGAAGCGGAATCAGAGGTTTTGCATCAGATGTCAATCTCTCTAGTAGCGGGTTAATGAAAAGAAAAATACTATTATATATAGATTTATAAACGAGCGGTAAGCGCGCCTCATCTCAAAGCAAAATCAAACTGCATTAAATAATCCTGCCGCTGCTGCCGCTGCGGCGATCAGCCTGAGAAAAAAACGATTTTTATGTCCCATTTCGGACGTATGCACGTTGCGAAAAACTCGTTCGTTTGCCAATCGTCCTACAAATTATAAGAGGACACGGCAGAGAGCGAGGGTGGGAGAGAAAAACGCAGGACCGAACGTTATACTTAAAACCACTTGACCACATTTGGTAGCAAAAAAAAAATAAATAAAAAAAAAAAAAATAAATGAAAGAAGCCACTAATGCGCGGACGACCAACGTAACCGTAACAAACAAACACTCAGCACGCAGCGGCGAACGGTGGCAATTTAACCACGATTGTCACGATCGTCAATTACGTCATTTTTCGGTGTGCTTCGTGTACGAGAGAGAGAGGCTCTCGAGTCTCTTCTTCTTTTTTTTTTAATTGCGATCGCAAGTTTATAACGCGTGCATGTGGGTGGAGGTAGAGAAGGTAAAAATTGCGTTAGGTCCGTCGAGACGTCGTCGTTGATGATGATGAATTTAAAAAAGGCGCAGAAGGAAAAACGATTGCGCTGTCAGTCCTCATTGTTATTCTATAAGTGACAACTATGCGTGCGCGTGCGTATTTATAATATATAAATGCAACGACGAAGAATGAAAGCATAATTTATAAATTAGCTATTGTGTAGGCATCAGCTTATAATGCATATAAAATAAAATAAAATAGCGTTCGATGATCCTCGAAGCGCAATCGGCTTCATTAATAAATGACAAGAAACATCGACCTTTTTAAGATAGAGAGAGCGAGAAAATCAACAGAACTTGCAACTACATGCAAGTTTTCACATTGATGCTCCGCAGAGCCCCACAAGTCTCGAGAAAAAAACAATGGGCTGCTGTTTTCGGTCTACTACACTACTACATATATACACTACTACTATACTACACTCGAATGCGCGTCTATCTCTGCTCTCGCTGCTTCTCTTCCTTTCTTTGTGTTTCGTATCTAGTGCGAATTCGGTGCCGAGGGATGGCATAATACCGCGCGCGGAAGATGTGTTACATATATATAATCTGGTATAAGGCAGTCGAGCACGTCGCGCTTATACCGCTACCAGTGCGCAGCATCGTGTTGTGTTACGTATTAGAAACACGCGCTCCTGGATATTACGGAATCGCCGCCGCCGGTTGTCCGGTCTTTTCTCGATACTATACGTGCTATACAGGACGGCGTTAATAACACCCGACTCGCACGACTGTTTTACAGGATGATGATCTATATCTTTTATCGTTGAAAAAATTTTTTTTTTACCAATCACGACTCGACGATTCGACTCGACTCGTGCTAGAGAGAAGAAGAATCGTCGAAAGGAGCGTGATACGCGATAGATGAAAATGTGCGTAGAGGAGGCCAAGCTCGAATCAAGCTCGATTTAAATGCCGTAAATCAATTAGACTCGTGCGAGAGACAGAGCAGAAGAAGAAGAAGAGCCTCCGCGAGACAAAGACGGCTCGCTCGCGCGCAGTTATTTGCCAGAGTTACACATTATAACTCGCGCATTGTTCCAAAGTCGACGACGCTTTATATATTATATACATGTATAGGATATATAAAAGTCGACGACAGCCTCGAGTAAAATATTTCAGATTAATTTTTCAAATGCAGCAATGAACGCGCCTACGAATAAATCACGATTTATATTACTATAAATACTACAGCTGCAGGATATTCTCCTCCCTCGCGTGTGGCAGGTATATCCTAGCCTATACATACGTTTAATCGAGCGGTGTATAAACACACACGCACGCAATGCGTGGCAGGCACTAATTAATCGTTGGTAATGTAAGGTAGAGGCGCGGCGGTTCCAGTGTGCCAAGGCCGAGAGAGCGCGAGAGCGGTAGCAACCCGCGCGACGATTGCGTTTACACGAGTATTTATACGTGGACGTTTATTTGCAATTTGTGTCCATACGTGTGGGTGGTCTTGTCGAATTTTATCATTTTTCGTCGTAAATCGTTATTACACGTAATTCACTTCCGCGCAGCGTAAAACTTCGCCGCGGGAAAAAAGAATTGAGACAAATTGAGATTTGTATCGAAGCTACTGCTGTGTAGCGCGCTGGTACATGATGCACGCCTCGAGAAGTTCCTCTCTCTCATACTCGAGTGATGTCACTTTTACTGAGGCAAATAGGCGTGTATACGCATAAGACGCGAGTGACATCATTTTCTAATGAGAAAATAAAATTAACTTCTCTGCCGCTGCTTCGTCGTCGTCGTGGCTACACAATATATATTCTTCTGGAAAGATGCGCCATCGTGCCTCATCGTGTATTTTTATGTATTTAAACATTACTCGAGCTCCTTGCCACTGTGTAGAACGTGTTATTATCGTTTTTTAGCAATATAATTCAACGTCTTATTCTTCTTTTTTTCGTTTGTCGCAGAAATCGCAAAAGTCAGAGCGAGTCTGTTCCAAATCAGCGGCGTGAAGAAGGAGCCACTCGCACTCCCCGAAGCAGAGGGCGAGGTCACGACGCTCACAGAAAAAGTATACGTACCCGTCAAAGAACATCCAGACGTAAGTGTTTACCTTTAATTACTCTTATTATGTTTTAATGGATAAATACGTACGTGAATAAATGAGTAAAGCAAAAAAAGCTCCGAGCTTTTCTCAATCATATACATACGTATTATATACGTATAGAGCTTGCACGCGGGCGCCCGTTGAAAATAAACTTGCTGATCATCGAGTGCTCTGCTGCAAGCTCTCTGCAATTTGACTGCGGGGTGTGCTGATGCTGCTGCTGTACATTTTATATTTATGCGCGCAACGTGGAACGGATATAATATAACAGCAGAAATAATACCATAAAGCAAGTCAATCACGATGCTGATGATGATTTTTAAGTGTGTAGGAGAGCAACGACCCGCGGGGAATATTTTTAAATCTGCACGTTTGCGATCGAAATATATATACGAATAATCGTGTACCAAACGTCGTGTAGTGCAGCTTGCAGCGATCATTCGTCGGTGGCGCATTATGTAGGATAGAAGCAGTTGGCTTGCGACGTTGTCGACGGAATATAAAATTTGATTTGAATAAATGACAACTCGATCCTGCGACTTTTCAATTCTATTATTAAAAGCTGCACTATACTTTCTCAAATATTCTCTCCTTCTTTTTCATACACGACACGGTAGAAACACTTTGCCCTGCACATGCCTCGATACAGCCCTATATAGCATAGCGGCAATCGCGCGAAAGAGAGAGAGAAGAAAACGCGCCTATATAGGTATTAAAACACGCGAGAAGGAGAGTCAGCTGTTTATTTCTGTCTCGTTACCGGAATAGAATTCGGCTCATATACAAACGCCGAGCAGAGTAGCCGAGCTGCTTGCAGCAGCAGCAACAGCGCCGTTATATTATATCGTATTATACGCGTGGACTTTGCGCTCTCGTTCTTCGCAGCGCTGCATATCTGGTGCCGAGTTAGAATAAGAGAGATTTTAGCGCTCGATCTTTTCTCTCTCTCGCTTTAGTGGTAGCATATAATACGTTATATTCTTCTTCTGCTTCTTCTTCCTATGGCGTTTTGCTACGGGGTTCTCCTCTATTTATATCAAAGAATCGTACGCTTTAATGCGTATTAATAAAATACACGCTCGCTTACGTAAATGCGCCCGTTTAATTTTTCCCTGGAATCTCCGATCGGCCTCGGAAAGCTCGATCGTATTTTAAAAGTTAGTTGAAAAACACGCCTTTTTTCATCGCCGTTGTTTGATGTTGCCGACCTCTTCGTTACGTATTAATTATGAATTTTCCGGGCAAATATATCGGCGCGTGTACACACCTCTCTCGACCGTACTTGCATACGCGATATATAGATTCTCATCTTCTTTGAGCGCATACATACACATCGAGGAAAAAGCTCTCTCAGCTGCGAGCGGCATTTCTCCGTATTACTTTTATAAGAGGGCTATATATGCATTTATATGCGTGTATGCCACGAAGCGCAGTTTATAAGGTATACAGAGAGAAAGAGCGAGAGACTCTTTTGTGCAAGCACCGCTGCATAACGAATCGCGCGTGAGCGGCGCCGCGACCAGCAGCAGTACATAGCATATACGATGCACACAGATACACACTTTGTACCTTTTCTTTATGGCATTTTTTCTCACGCGTTTAACCGCGTTCGTTCCGTTTTTTTTTTATTCTCCCTATGGCCAACCCCACCAGTGCAGAAGCAGCTCCCGCTTCTCTCGCGGTATATACTAAGTTGCAATTATTTATAATATACGTAGAGTCTCCGTCTCTCTTATACTTCTGTCAGTGACTGGTATACGTGCGATATAGCGCGCGCATCTCTCGAGGCTACGCCGTGGTTTTCATGTCATGCACGAAAATAATAAGATAAAAAATACACACACACATACAGACACACACACACAAGGCAAATTAGCGACCTTCCGTATAGGCATTACACATACATAACGTATTCCTAACGCGCGATAAAGGAAATCACGATTTTTCGTGACCAACTGCGCCGTAATAATAATAATAATACGTGCTCGCGCAGGGGGACAGCTCTCGCGTTCCTTGCAATAAACAAACGACGAGATGCCGAATCGTCGATTGCCGCGCTCCGAATAGCGCCAACGATGCCAATGTGATTTGTCCGCAAGTATACGCGGACCGCTGCAAACAGCTCGGTTCGTTGACATTATTCGATCGCGAAAACTGCTGCTGCACGTACACACGAGGAATTTGCGAGCGACTGAGCTAAGCTTATTATACGGTATATAATACTTTTGTCGTTGGCATTCGTTCAGCTGCGCCCGCCGCGAAATCGATACGTTGCACTTTAGAGAGAGAGAGAGAGAAGATTGATTCACGCGGCCGATGAAAATGTTTCGCCGCGCTCGACTTGCATTTGGCACTCTCGATGACAAAAATTCGAGAAAGCCGCGTGTGTGTGTTCTATAAGGCATACCCGTCGTCGAATCTTTTATTTCCTTTCTCTCTATTCGAGTCGCGAGGAGCTAGATGCTCCCACAGCATAGATCTGTATACATACCTTCGCGGTGTAATGTGTGTGTATGCATCGCGCGCAGACTATAGCATGTGCATATAATATACATACGTATATTATATATTATATATGCACGTTGGAGAAAGCGTGAGAGTAAGAAACGAGACTCCTATTCTAGTTTTCCAATATTACAGCGACGACGATTTTTGCTTGGCTTTGTACCGCTGCTGCTGCTCTCTAATGTCTCGTGCACACGCGTTTTGTATGCTTAAAGTTCGCGCTCATTATGACGCGAATATTCGTATGCGTGTACGATGGGATTTGAGATGCGGAGGTGGATTTTGAGTTATGATCGATGCACGACGCGCGTCGTTTCTATAGATTTCGTTGAGGCTTTTCAATCTTATGCGACATCGAGTTTTGAGCTAAAATACAAGCCAGTTAAAATATGATAATTATATTATCCTGCACGTAGGCTTACAAAGCTGTTTGCTGCTGTTGTGCCTTCGATATGAATTTCCTCGTGTATCGAGACAATATAATTACAGTTGTACCGATAGATGGCGCCGAGTATAGAATCTCAAATCCCAATGCAATGTTCGCCGACCAATAGCTGAAATTGAAATATGAAGCTGCAATTGAGACACTTCACTAAAGTTGATGTCGATACATCTTCGCTCGATTCGTACATGTTCGTGCGATTTCGTAGAAAAAGCCGAAAACCGTCCAGTCGTGTGTCTTTGCATTGAGAGCATCGCCAGAAAAGGCATCAATCCGAGCTTTGCGGTTGCTCGTGACAGCTTTTCTCCTCGTGTAAAACATAGTAAAGCAAAAATCATCAGCATACATATAAAACTAGCCAATGAACGCGTCAGAAAAAAAAATACACGATTCGAAAAATATCATCAATTATATTGCTACCTTATAACCGCGAACAAAACACGTTGTGCATATACGTACATGGTAGAACATGCCGTTCTGATTCATTCAATTACGTATGTATCTATCGAATTCGCCTACTACCTATGCCGCACCGCCCGCGGTCGACTCAATAATATGCGCGATATCGTAGACACGTATTCCTACATGGCTTTTACACCGAGTAGAGAGAGACACATGCGCGCACGTATAATGCTCGCGGTTATTTATTGGAAAAATAAAAAAAAAATTAGAAGAAAAAAAAATAAAACCTTGCGCTACTTACTTCCTAATGATCGACAGCAGCAGCGGATAGTAATTCAAATGAATGTTTACAATATCTATATACACGTGTAATATTAAGAAGGCGCAGAGAGAGCCTCGCCTTATAGAGGATTCGAGTTATATATTGCCTTACGGCCGATCGACTAGTCGGTAATATATACACGACACTCGCGCGCGCGGGTGCAGTGCAATGCAATATATATATAGGATGTAGAGGCCAGTACTACACTGCAGTTTCCGCATCTCATATGTACTATAAACAATCCACGTAGACGCGCCTCGATTCGTTGCAATGTATACCGACGCATACACGTATACGTACACGTACACAGACATCCGCAAAACATCTTTGTCGTCGTTATTATCATAATTGGCAAGGGCGCGGCGGCGATACATATAGGAGGACTATACATACGTAAGACTGACCCGCGGCAGGCAATAGGCCGGAGAGCCTCGCCTTCGAGGAGTTTTAACTTCTCTCTCTCTCTCCTTCTTAGATGTGTGTCTTGGCACGGTAGTAGCTTCAGTCGTTACTTTGTTTAATGCGTTTCTTTCCTCTTTTTTTTCCTCTCTCTCTAATTGAAAAATCCCAAAGTTGCATCCGAGGTATATACGTAGTACGCTGCAGTAGAAAACCGCGCAGCGAAACAATACACAATCGCCATTGTAACCTGTCTATATAGCAGTCTCTATATGTACAACAAATTGATGAATGTGTACGTATATGTATTTGTACACACGAGTGCGATAACTTCTCCACGCGGCTTTCTCACTCGCTGGCTTTTAATCCCCCGCTTTCCAATTCAACTTGCTGCTTATCGGGCCGGCGGTATCTCGGTTCGGTAATTCGTTCATTGAGACTTTTATCGGGTGTACGTCTAAATTTGCTCGAGATACGAGTGTGGCGTCGTTGTTGCCTGCTACCTGTGTTTTTTTTTCTCGTTGTTGTTGTGTATTATTGTATAGTTATTATCCGATCGATACGATCTCGATTCTTCAGCTTTTTTTTTTTTACTTGTTCACGGTGTACTCTCGATGTTTACACGATATCTATAGCAACGATAATTCGATCAATATAATAATGCGTACTGTTTTTTCTTTGCTTTATTGTAGTTCAATTTCGTGGGAAGGATTCTGGGACCACGCGGTATGACGGCCAAACAGCTGGAACAGGAGACTGGATGCAAAATCATGGTGCGAGGCAAGGGTTCAATGAGGGATAAAAAGAAGGTAAGGATCGTTATATGTTTCACAATTTTTATTGTTAAATACATATACGCCATAAGCGCAGCCCATTGATCTTTGAGAATAAAATTGAAAATTAAAAATTAAAATTCCGCGCTAAATTTGGACCCCCCGATGCGTAATATAGGGCGCACCACCACGTATGTATTACTGTTTATTTTCGTACAATTCACGCATTACTTACGTAATCGTATATACACATATTAACACACTTATTCTCCCTTTGCCCTTCCTCCTCGTAACGAGTAGATTTTATATTAATTAAGTCGTGTGTGTATACATACGAAGAAGCCGCACGCGCGCGAGATAAATCGCCGCGTTCGTTTAATAAGCCTCGACGCGTTTAATAAATTAAATGTCCCGCGCGCGTATTATGTAATTTGGAAGACGCGGCGCGCACGTGTTTTTGGCTGGAATGCGATTTGATACGCGAGCGAGTTTGAAATAATTTCGGCGAATGCGAAATAACATATTTATCGCGACCTGGTGTAACGTGCGTGCATATAGAAAAAAAAATAAAATAAAAGAAAGAAGCTGCGACACGATTAGGAAGTAATTATTGAGAAATTAGGCTGCGCTGCGCGAAAGCGCACGACGTTGGTGGCGGTGACGACTGTTTTGAACGCTGGCCAGATTCTATTTTGCTCGAGTCTCTTCTTACTTTTCATTTTTATCGTCAATTTTTTGTTTGTTCGAACAACGAAATTCATCATGTATACGCACGCCTCGTTACACCGACACCGAAAATTTGCGAGTGTGTTATGCAGTAGCGCGCCGAGTATATACTGCAAGTATTGCCATTGTTTAGCTCGCGCCAGGCCCTATAGTGTACCGCTGCCGAACTGCCCGTGAAATTAGACGAGTGCATAGACTTCCTTTTTGCAGGCTGCATATATATACAGCCCACGATCTTGTTTTTTGCGTTTTTCTTTATCGTCCAAAGTGGCGTCAGCAGTAGCAGTAGCAGTAGCAGCTAGTAGAAAACTCTCGAGGTTAGAAATTATATTACACGAGAAAGAGAGAACGTCGTGATATTTTCACCGCAGAAGTTGCGAAAACTACGTTGTTTTTCTCGGCTGCAGCACGACTCGCGCGTTAAATAGATATGTATAGGTATGCGTGTGACCGCATAAGCCAACAGTAGACGTTGCTGCTGATGCTGCTGCTGCTTGTCTCTTTTTTAGATGTCTTATTTATTTATGGAATCGTTGCGTGAAAATGCATAGCGGCAAAGTTTTAGTCTGCGAAGTTCTAAATAGACAAATTATCAAATTCGAGAAAAAAAGGCACGAATACCGGGAGAGGATAATCAGGCATCGGTTCTCACACACATACGATCGTGCAAACGTTATAATAGACGGGTACGCGCGAGTACAACAAAAATGCTCGACGTATACACAACGAGAGCTTTGCTGTATTATAATAGGTAAATAAAAAAATATGTATATAATGTAAGGCGATATATATACAGGCGGCGTGGTGCAGTTCAGCAGTTTTTCTCTTTTATAAACACGACACATACGCACACACAAGCCGGAGTTCCGCATGAGGGAGTCCTGCAGCAGTAGTGGTAATAGTAGTTCGTAGTCAAGAGCCAAAGAGAGAGAGAGAAGCCCGCATTATCGCGGTACAATATCGTGGGTGCACTTAACGCGCTTTTTTTTGTCGCGACCGAGAGAGAAGTACGTGTATAACTATAATGTGTGCGAGCCCTGCTGCTGTCTATTTGATTTTGATCGAATGTTGAGCCACTACTGTTGCTGCTGCTGGTCTATCGAAATTAATAGCTATTATAGGACTCTTGCGAGTTATAATACACAAGTCAAACCGATACTCTCTTCTTTCCCCCGTCACACCCCGCCCTTATCTTTCTCGTCGTCGTCGTCCAACACCATAAGTTTTTTTTTTCGAAGAAACTCGCTGGAAAATATAAAACTGTTTTTTTGTCTCTTTCTTGTAATATTTTTCAAGCTGCACACAACTTATATTATCGGGGCGCATTCTCGAAAGCATCGTAAAGCGTAAGTATTTTTGCTGTGTGAGCTGTGCTGCTGCCGTTCGTTCTTTCCTTCTCCTTCTCTCTCTCTCTTTCTTATACTTTCTTGTAATTCGCGCCGAGGTATTTTCAGATATTAAAACTTTAGCACTTCTTTCGGTGCGAATGCCTCGGTGCAAAACCTTATATATTATATTGTACACTCCTTCTATCTGTGTTTTTTTTACTTTACTTCGAATGTAGAAATATTTATTGCAGCACGTTTATTAGTTGTATTATTATTATTTTATCTTATTACATAGTCAGCACTTCCCAATATATATCGCATCCGTAATATATGTCTATAAATGTACTTCCTCGTTTATGCTCGAACTTAAAAATTAACGCAATATATTTTTTGTTGTCCGTTTTGCAGGAGGAACAAAACAGAGGCAAGCCAAACTGGGAGCATCTGACGGACGAGCTCCACGTGCTGCTCACGGTCGAGGACACGGAGAATCGCGCCACCCTCAAACTGGCCCGCGCCGTCGAGGAAGTCAAGAAGCTTCTGATACCCGTTGTGAGAAAGTTCCAATTATACTTGTAACCCGTCTAACGCACACCTCTAAAAGCTTGCAAGCAAAGCTCTGCCCTTTAAATATTACTTTAAAAACGCAACTGACAAATTTACGCGCGCGCCTGCTGCAGCGATTCATCATAATCTCGCATGTCGCTGCTCGTTTCTCTCTCTCTTTCTTTTATTATACACCATGACCCGGTACGTACGGAGGAATCGGGTCAGCGAATCGTTTGCAAGCTCGGGTATTTTCGCGCGAGTTTTGCTTACCTGTGCCGCTGCCACCGCTGTTACGTATTATGAGTCGTGATGTGGCATAATATATGTATACGTATACGACCACCCGCGCCCGACTGATCTCGTTTTTCCTCTCGATCTCTTTCGGGAAAAACAGCTCTCGAGGCGAGAGATGACTGCTATATATCCCTCCACCGCTGCCGCGAGGGGGAAATCGAGGACGCGTGAAAATGCCCGAGTTTATTAACGCGCGCCGTTTATATTAATAGCCGATTTTAATTGCCCGAAATTTTTCAAAAACGAGACGAAAAACAACGACTGTACGCGCTTGTTTTCTCGGAAGTGAGATTCGTTCGATAATAATTGCGCGTATTGTGTACTTGTAGAGGACGTTTCAATTAACGCTTGCGAGCTTTGCGTGTAGTGACTAACAAGCTCATTTCCCACCTACGGAAGCTTTTTTTGGCCAAATCACGTAGCTTTTTCGCTCGTCATACTTATACGCGGCATTTTTGTCATTGCCCGTCGATTGTGTTACAGCAAGCCGATGGCGAGGACGAGCTCAAGAAACGACAGCTCATGGAGCTTGCCATCATCAACGGCACCTACAGAGACTCGAATACCAAAGTCGCCACTGCATCGGGTGAGTGTTTCATCGTGACAAAATAATTCAGCTATATCGAAAGAACCGTCCAAAAGCAATTGATTCGTTCGTTCGATCGCAGCTTTCGACATCGCAGCCTGCGACGAGGAGTGGAGGCGCGTGGCCGCCGCAGCCGCCGAGACGCAGCGCCTTCTCCCGGGTCTGGCCAACCAGATGAGGCAGCCCAACGCCCCTCTCGGCGCGCCGCTCATCCTGTCGCCGAGGATATCCGTGCCGACGACCGCAGCCTCGCTGCTCAACGGCTCGGCTCAGGCCCAGGCGTCGATCCTCTCCGCCGGCGATCCGCACGGCATCCTGTACGCGCCCTACGCCGACTACGCCAATTACGCGGCGCTCACCAGCACGCCCACCCTACTGACGGAGTACGCCACGGCCGATCACTCTGGTGGGTTGTTCGCTCGCTGACGCTGAGCAGCAAGTAGTAGAACGTCATCGCCGTCGCCCCGTGTTGTGTGTGTGTTGTTACTCCTCACGTGCGCAACATAGCTCGTGCGCGTCGTCGTTGCGTTTTTGTATCTGCTTGCGACAAGTTCACACTCATTATTTGATTTTTTTCTTTCTTCTTCTTCTTCTTTCGATGATCGACACCTTCGTTGATCGTTATATTATTATTATTATTATATACAAAGTTACTTTGTAGTAGAGTTTTAGGGAAACCGTATCGACCCACGCACGATCGACAATTTTAGTCTTAAGGTATCATACCGACGCGTCTCTCGGAATGAAAAAAAAGAAAGAAGTTGACTAATTACGTATATAGATGTTTACGTACGTCGTTTATATGTAGAGTAATTACATAGTTCTTAAAAGATTGGCATTAGGGAGAGATACGTATTAAGATTATATGTATATTCGTTGGTCAACTTTTTTTAGGGTTGTGCAATTTTCTTTCGAAGCATTTGACGAGAGAGAGAAAGAGTAGTTTTTCTTAGACGAAGAAGATCTCTCGAATCAACCTCTCGAAAGCTTCAGAGAGAGAGATAGTTTATATATTTACGAATTACGACGATACTTATGGCTCTCTATCGGTAATTTTCTAGATAGATAGTTGAAAAAAAACAGCAATATTAGATAAGCATCGACGAAAGAGATTTAGAAACGAGAGGAAAAAAAAGGAGGCACTGCAAATCAATATATAAATGTATATTCGAGTGGAAACCGCTGCATTTTATTTTTTTAAGAAAACAATTTTTTTACAAAACTCACGACTGATTTTTACAGAAACAAAAAGCGAGACTCTCATAACACTTCACGACTATTTTCGTCAAACAAAAAATTCTATATCGATTTGTAATGTGTCGATTCTTTTTTTTTTTTTTTTTAAGCGCGTATATAATACGTCCAATCCAAGCGTTCGTAACTCGCAGAGAGAACGTTAATTTTCGTACGGAGTTTATTAATAATGAAAATGAAAGAACTTTTATGAATCATTATCTCGAGAAATATTTTTAAAAAGCGAGTGACCGAGGCGTGAGATTTTTTTTTCGAAAAAAAAAATCCGCGCGTTCAAGTGTTATTATAATAATGATCACGATAAAGAAAACGAAGAGAAAAAAACGGAAATATCCATAAATTTAGGATTTATAAAAAAAAACAGAATAGTAATAATAATCATAAATAGCTAGTGGGCGTTGTCGTTCGAAAGCGCGCAATCGTTGTACAGCTCTGAATCAGTCAATTACTAGTCGCTCTCTGATGTTCGTCATTTTTGCGCGCGCGCGCACACGATATTATATACAATTAAGTATAAGTGCAATAAACTCCGAGGCATTCTCGTATCGGATGAAAGCAGGAAAAAGATGAACGAAAATAATAAATAATTATAATGATATTTATAATAGTAAGAGCAAAGATACTCGTATAAGAATATCAGATCGAACAAAAAAAAATGCAATACACTTTTAGAAGAAAAAAAAGAGAACGATTCAGTATTTCATCGTGGAAATTGAAGAAGAGATTTTATATTATATATTTATATCCGTTCTTGAATATAAGATACCGCATTGTACGCGAGTGTACGTTCACTATATGCTAGTCGAAACAATCCGTCTGAACGATCGTCGGGGGAGTCGAGGTTTCTTGAAAAAAAATTTTTTTTTTGGTAAATTAACGCGTGAAATGCTCTTGAAGCAAATAAACACATACTTATTTATATTTTTATCAACGCAATATATCAAAAAAAAAAAAAAAAAAAAAAAAAAAAAAAAAAAAAGAAAACGACAAAAAAGTTAAAAGTGGAAAAAAGTGAAGAAGCCAAATTCGTATAAATCAAAAAGACAGCTAAAAGCGTTTAGATATATAACGTGTGTACACGACCAGAGAGAGAAAGAGAGAGATCGAGCCATACACACATACGCAGTTGCACGCAGGCCAGGGCTTTTAAATTTAGAATTGCGAACGCGCCCGCGCACCGCCTCATGCCGGTTTCGGGATATATAACACACGCACACGAACGAGAAGCCGCGTATATAGAAGAGACTTTGTATCTCTCTCCAAGGAAAGAAGGGATACACGCGTTGCAGCGGAATCACCCGATGCTGCTCTCGCACATCGTCAATTTTTTTTTCTTTTTTTTTTCGAACGACTATTTTTACTTACACTCGCGCGATACATATACACGTATATATATGATATACTCGAAAATCCCGTCGTACGTGTCACACATACACACACGAAGAAAGAGCCAAATGGGAACGAAGTAAACATTTTCTCCGTCGATCTGGTCTGCGTACATTTTTCTCTCTGTCTCTCGCTTTCGTTGTTTTTTTCTTCAAATGAAATTTATTTTTTTATACTCGATTATTTTTCGATCGATAATTTGCGACAGGAGCGGGCAGCACGGTGTTACGCGTGTAAGTCGCGTGTATATTTTTTATTCGAGAAAATTTCTTGACGAAATAAGAAATTCGCTCGATGCGTGCGTGTGCGCGCGTGTGTGTGTGTTGTACCCCCTTTAGAAGACGGAAATAACCGGAGCATTGAGTCAACAGTATTTCACGCGCTCATCTAAACATCGCATATACATATAAAATACTAGTGCCGGCGGTATACATGGCCAAACGAACAAAAGTCAAATATTTAAAACGTAAAACGCCGAATATGCGCACGCGTCTATAATTAATATTTAGGACGAAAAATAGGAGCTCAAATTTTCGTCTCTCGATGATTTGATATCGTAACGAAGTGCCGTATCTTAGATTATCTATAAAATCAAATCTATAAGATCTGAGACGGTGGGCATAATGTTAGATCGAATATTTTATAATTAATTAGCCTAGACATTTTCGAGACTTTTGTCTCGTTTCGAATCTTAATGTCGATCGCGGCCTCGAACAACGCCGTCGTTTCTTTTTACTTTTTTTTTTCTTTAATTTTATTTTTGCTAGCGAGCGACCGGAGTTTCATCGTATATAGATATATATATATAAACGTTATTTTTATTTTTCTATTTAAATGATGCATCCGTGACGCATATTTTTACAATTTTCTTTCTCCATCGCGCGTCGGAAGTGAAGGTTGTAGACTTATACATATTCAAATTATTTTACCTTATACGTTATAATCCATATCTATATTGCTCGTTCATATTTTTTTTTGCGTTTACTTAATTTTAATGTTTTATCGTCGTTATTGTTTTCTTTTTCGACTTAGAGTATTTAGGCAAACGAAAAAATCTGCTGAATTTATATAACTGTTAACTTTATTAGATTTTATTGAGTAATCGTCATTAACGATCTATCGAATTAACGATTAACACAGTACTGCTGCGAACAAAGCAAGTATTACACTAGAATCACCAGACAATTTAAAATAAAAAAGTCGAATCCCTAGGGCTGAAATTGATACATTGGGTTAATTTACATCGAAATAACAATACGTAATATCACGCGACTAAAAAAAAATGAACCGACGAGTATTTAACACTAACTTCATGTAACGTTCATCGGTCAGCCTGTTTTGTTTTTCCTATACGAATAATGAACTGTTTAAAACTTACGAGACTTAATTTTCGCCAAGTTTAATTGAATTTTCTCGCGTTACGAAGAAAAAATTAGTCTAACCATTTTTATATTATTATTTATTATCGATATATTAACGTCCGTTTATCCTGCACGATTCCACTATTAATCAATTTTTTGTTTTGTATCGATACAAAACCGTGTACTTTCGATTTTTGGCTCGACAAAGCTAATCTTAATCATCATTTTTTTTTCTCTCTCGCTCTGATTAATAATTAATAAAAATATCGTAAGTTGCATTGGTTGTGATAGTACATTGTATTTTGTACGCGTTCGAACGCGTCGTTTATGGAATCTCAAGGATGACGGTGCTCTACACGTTATTTACGTTTTTTACAAAATTATCCGGTGTCTATTTACGTAGAATTTTGCATTACAAACGTAAAATATATATTTTATTTTTTTACATTTACAACGATTCTAAAAAAGCATCTCGCGCACTTTAACGCGCGCGCGCCTACGTCACGGCGCGCGCAACAACGAACAAAAAAAAAAGAAAGAAAGGAAACACAGAAGTATTAAAGTATTGTTATTGTTTTGTTAATGTTGTTGTTTTGTATACAATATTATATTCTTTACTCGACTCGAGTGTGACTGCGGTTTAGTCGCGATGAAAACTTGCACGCGCGTATTATTAGGTGTGTACGCGAGATTTTCGAGCTCGTTACGCTCGTAAAACAAGCGAAAAATACTCCGACGAAGTGCCAGAACGCGCGTGGCTATGTTATATACGTTTACTAGAAAAAGAAACGAAATGATTTATTACGCGATATAAAATAGTGTGCCTAGGGACCAAAAAACGCTCACGTTAATCTCATTTTCGCGAAGACAAAACAAACGAAATAGGAATGAAAATCATTTTTAATACGTTGGTTCTAGCGTTTACTTGCCTCATTTTTGTTAATAAAAGAAGAAAATACGAATAGAAAATGAAAGCTTTAAAAATCGGTTTAAAAAAAAAAAATTGAAAGAAAGTCAATCGGGACACGTGCACGATTCATACTTACGATTTTTATTTATAATACTCATCATAATGATACTCGGTAAATCAAACGAATCATCTTTTTTACGGATACGTTCATTTGAAATTTCACGATAGATCTGTACTTTAGCTCATAATAAATATTTATATATTACATATACACACGAGATATTAGTCGTCTCTGTACGCACAATTTTCTGTGCGTCAAGAAAGGACTTTGAGTTGTAATCTAATCGACGTACAAAAAAAAAAGGAAAAAAATCTTCGGTAGACAAGATGATGTGTTCTTGCACGGACATGGCCTCGTCTCTCGTTAAGTTCGTTTGAATTATTATTGTTAATGACGCGTCCACTTTGTATAAAAGTATGGGCGCTAATTTTTTTTTTCGTTTAGTTCTCTCTACTATATTTTTTAGGATTTAGAATCTGATTTTTAAGCCAGAAAAAATACCAATACAAACGTACATCACAATAGTGCTAAGGTTCGAGCGTTCGAATTACTTATTACACCAGCTCATAGATAGGATAATTATTTATGAGTTAAAGAATTTTCAAAATAGATAGCTGAGCCATATTCATGTTTTTACAATACCGCATTACAAGAGAGCATTACAATTTTTATCAATCTTCGTTATAATTCAATTGTTAAGTATATTCGTACGTATAGTCGTAAGTGAGCCATATATCGACATTTTTTTTTGCTACGAGAAAGTAGGTAATTTTAAAAGTGTCCAAGGGCATGACAAAAAAAGAGAGAAAAAGAAAAATTCGATTATGCATAAAACGTGCAATAATGTTACAGAAGCTTTAAATCAATGTGCAATAGTTCAGCGCCATAAATGTATTTGAATGTTGAGTGTATATGACTTGGAAGGCATCGATGGGTTGCCAAAATGACAAAAGCCATAACGAATTCATGAAACAAAAAATTGCGTTTCCCGTCGATTCTCTCAATAATCATAAACATAAAAAACACACACAGAGCATAAGCCAGTCTTTACAATACATCTTGAGAGGAGAAAAAATTTATTTATATTTAAATACGCGTTTGTGCGCGCATGAATATTCGAAATATTTATACACGCATACGGCGACATAAAGTGTTAGCTATAATTTAATATTACGTAGTACGTAAGCACAGTAATTTTATCATAATTTATAATTATTACATTTATATTAGATATACATATATTTATCTAGAATTTAAGCAAAAAAAAACCATGTATGTTGAATGTTAATGTTTTACTTGGGCGTCAACAGGTGTTGCGGGTGCTGCTGCGAAGCAGCGCAGGCATTTAGGCCAGTTACGAGAACACCCTTATCAGAGGGCGGGCGCACTCTCGTGAATGCGCCAATCACCGTGCGGCCCACTTAGCGACGCCCCCTTAAATGATTATTTATTTTAAGGCGCGTTATGCGAGCCCACGGCTGAAGGTTAGTTTTTCTCATTCTTGTCAATGATTTTTTTTTTTTTATTATTATTTTTATTTTTATTTTATTTTATTTTAT